GTCCCTTCCTTCTGTTCTCTATGTTTCAGAAATTTGTTGAGGGTTTGTTGGCTGTTTTCTCTCCTCCTCTTTTCCCACTTTAAAAAGGAGTGTTTCTTATTTGTGGCTACTTTATAATAGTTTTGATGGGGTCCTGAAACAGGAAAAGGTGGTGTTTGCTTTTAATCTACTATGCATTACTGGAACTCTTTAAAGGTACATTTCTAAATAGAGTTGTTCATAAAACATAAAATTAATGAAAACACATTTGGGGAATAACGAAATTCCCTTTGGCACATCTTCTAAGTAGCAACACTTAAAAAGAAAAGGTTAGTTTTCTAACCTGTTAGAGAACTTCTCAGACTCTAGTAATATCCCTGCCACCTGATTACATTTCTAAAGTTTTTATTTACACTCCAATGAAGAGTTTTGATTTTCCCTATTTAGCATTAAAACATGAAATTTTCACCATAAGTAACAATTTCCACAGAAATCTTGCAAGAACCCTCAGAATAATCCAAGTGGCTTCTCCTTAGGAAGACCAACATGCAGTCTTAGGCCAACTCATGCTGGCTGTTGCATGCTGCAAATCAATTCCCAGTGGAATCCAGACATAACCAGAGCTACACTGCCTTGCTACTGCCCATGCTGTCCTTCACTTCTCAGTCACTGTCCCTTAAGGTGCAATGTCCCCTTATTTTTATCCCTTCATTTAATATGGACAAATTATAACAGGCAGCACAGAAATTTTTTTTATATAAAGTGTCTTCCTCAAGACAAATAAGACAGAGGAGTGAGCTAGTGAGCAGTGTCTTCTCAAATTTCTGTTGTAAAATTCACCCCGCTCTCCATGTGTAGTCATACCTGTGACCTCTGGGTGCTTCATCAGGAGCAGGAGTCCATATCTCAGAGTGGAGGTTGTGGTCTCTGTCCCAGCTTCCAAAAGATCATTCACAATGTTTATTAAGGCTTCAGTGGTAAACTCAGTCTGCTGATTGCCCTTTTCCTAGGAATAATTCATGCACTTATTTCACAATTAATTTAGTGTTTAATTATAATAATTTCAAAATAAATTATATGGTTATAAAGTTAAGTCAACATAGCAACAAAAGAATACAATGTTATAAAAAGCTACTCTGTGGTATGGTAAACTATAGATTAATTGACCAAATCTCCATTTCTTACCCTCTTAAAATCGTTTTTTACCTAAAGATTCTGTTCACCATCC